ATTCCCTACAGGTGTAGGGCCATTCCCCAGTGTGAATGTGTTGGTGCCTGAGGAGGTGGTTGCTCTTCCTGAAGCTCTTCCCACATTCCAAGCACCTGAAGGGCTTCTCACTGCTGGGAGGTTGCTCAGGGACCACCAGCTCGGAGCTCCGGCTCAAGCTCTGGCCGCCTTCCCGGCACAGGCCGGGTCTTTCCTCCTCAGAGCTCCCTGGGCTGGCTTTGCAGCCCCTCCTCCGGGGGCATCTCCGGGCCTTTTCCTCCCCGCTGCCTTCCTGCGCCAGGGAGCCCTTCAAAACGGCCTCTCCCAGCAGGCTCTGCCGGGGGGATTTGTCCTCCGTGCTCTCTGTCCTCAGCTCGGGGCCTGGGGCAGGAAGGAAGAAGGACAGGCAGGGGATTTGCCTCCAGCCCAGAGGGAAGGCCAAGGACATCCCCCAGATCTGGCCCCGACTGGACGGCGGCGCCAGCGGGGTTGTCCTGCAGCCGGGGGCGATGCTCGGCTGCCACAGGAACCACAAGACAGGGCCAAAGGGGCACTGACTTCCTCCTCACCTGCCTGGGGGGCCCACGGGTTTCTCCTCTTCCTCTCAGCCTCCTCCTCCATCTGCCCAAGCTTTGGGAAAGACAAATCCTGCTGGGGGGAAACAAGGGCTGAGCACATTGCCTTGGGGGTTCCTCCTGCCCAAGTCCATCTCTAGAACTCACCGGGCATCCTGGGACCATAAAGACCTCCAAAACACCAAGATTCAGACCAGAAAAACCCAAACCACCAAGATTCAGGCAAAAACCCCTCAGAAATAGCAAGAAGACCCGTGCCCCCCAAACTGCCAAAAGTTGAGATTCAGCTGAAATATAATCCAAATTATGAAGATGAGCCAAAAAAATCTCTCCCAGGAGTTCCCCCTCTCTTGTCTCCCCCCTCTGGGGTTCAGAGGGTCTCCCCTGTCTGGGATGTTGGGAGTCCCACTTAGGGATGCTGGGAGTGTTGGGGGTCCCAAAGGTCCCTTCTCCTCTGACTCTCCCCTTTGGGGTGCTGCATTCCCTCTTGAAATGAGAGCAAGGCCTGAAGAATTACCTGAAATATCTTGCTTAGCTGAGAGAAGCCCCCCCATACCTGCTCTGCCTAAATTGCTAAAGAAAAATCTGTTCTGTTCCGTTCCTTGGACCTGATCTTAAGAAGAATGCTGGAAACATTCTACAATGGATCTCTAGGCCACAAATTAAGGCAAAGTCAGCCAAGGTAGACATTTGAATAGGAGAAATAGGCCTAAAGCCAAGGCTCTCTCCATGTTTCAGTGAGTGGGGCAAAGACAGTGGAAAGTTAGAGAGGTCAAACTGAGGAAGACTACAGAGACCTCAGCCTCGATGATGAAGAAAGGGGGATGAACCCCCAGAACTGAGGGCCAAGAAAAGCTCCACCCAAAGCTTCTGCCTGAGCTCTGCCTGTACTCCAGCTATTATCAACATGAATGATTAGATGTTGAAATCATATGAATAGGAATGTAAGGTGTTGTAATCATAGAAGTTACACTGTATAAATTACCCTGTTTTGTACCGACACCTTCGAGCAAGAGCTTTGTGGTGCGAACCCCGCCTGCTCCCGACGTCCACAATAAACACCTTTGCTGCTCTAAAGACCAAAAGCTTCTGGGCAGTTTCTTTACCAGATTTCTCTGGAGAGCAGATTGTGCCCCAGGGAAGGGAATGCAGAGGGGCCCTCAGGTCCCCAGGATGAAGCAGCAACCAGCAAGAGATACAAAAGGGGCCCCCAAGGATTTTGGGGGAGTGTCCTGCAGGGAGGGGACAGTGTCACCCCACGAGGGCAGGGCTGGCAAGTGGGAGGCTGCTCCAGGGATCTGCAAGAGGCCTCGTGCTCTGCTCGGCCCCATCAGTGGCTGAGACCAACACCCCGTCCTCGTGGCCAGCGGCTCTTTCCTGCCCCAGCCAAGAGGTTCCCGGCCCCCCAGTGCTCCCCTGGGGCTGTCCCTGCTCCTCCCTGCAGGCTCCGTGGCCGGGCACACTTTGTGTTCCTGGGTGCCACCAGCTCAGCAGCTGCAGCCGCTCCAATCAGCGCCTGCAGCTCTGCAGCAAAGCCCCAGCTCACCTGGCACACAGGGCATGGACACAGCACCTTCTCCCTGCTGGGCACTCCCAGCTCAGCCTCTTCCCCAGCACGGGGCTCTCCTGCCTCAGCACCACCTCTGCCTTCCACTTCTTCTCAGGGACACCTCAGGGCCAGCTCTGGGCTCACCTCCGGGCCATTGCTCAGGGACACCTCAGGGCCTGCTCTCCAGCACAGGAACCTGCAGGGAGGGCAGATGATGTGCAAGCCCAGGGGGGCCTGCTTGCACTGGCCTGGGGGCTTCTTTCTCCTTCCACAACCACCCCACAACTCCTGCTTTTCTAACCCCACATCTTTGCAGACTGACCTTGTCTCTCTGTCTGCACAGACACATCTATCCCCTGTGGACAGAGCCTCCAGCATGTGCTGCCCTGGCAATGGCACCCAGAGAATCCCAGAATCCGCCACCTTGGAAAAGACCTCCCAGATCATCAAGTGCACCCCTTGATCCAACCCCGCCGTGGTTCCCAGACCGTGGCACGGATGCCCAGGGGAGGGGCTTTGGGGATGAGGGGTCCCCCAGTACAGCCCAGTGCCCCCTCAGTGCCCTCCCAGTACAGCCCAGTGCCCCCAGTACAGCCCACTGTGTTCCTGTGCCAGGTGATCCCTCTTTAGGGGTGTTGGAGAGGATTTGGGGCATTTTGGAGGGCTCTGGGTGCATTTGGGGGAGCTAAAAGAGGTCTTGGGAGCATTATGGGGTCAAAGGGATCTGAGGGGGGGAGGGGATTAAAGGAAAAATGGGGGTTAGGGGACATTTGGGGGATTATTGGGACCTGGGGGGGACAGGAGGGGCAGCACCATAAGCAGGTGAGTCCTGAGACCCCCCTGGTGTCCCCAAGACCCTCCTGCTGTCCTCAATTTCCCATTTGGCACCCTGAGACACCCCTGGTGTCTCCAGTGTTCCCAGGGCCTCCCCATGGCCCCAATTCCCCCCTTGAGACACCCCCCATTCCACTGGCCCCAAACCCCATCCCTGATGTCCCCAACCCTCCATCTCCCCCCAGAAGGCCCCCCTGGACCCTCTGAGCCCCAAAACGGCCCCATCCCCCCAAGCTCACAGAAAAGCCAAGGACATCTGGGGACACATTGGGGAAACTTGGGGGGCTTTGGGGGGCACTGGGTGATTACTGGGGAATACTGGGACACACTGGGGGGAACCAGGGAAGGTTCCTGGTACTGGAGGGGACTGGGGGGTTATTGAGTGATGCTGGGAGGGCACTGGGAGGGACTGGGTGATTACTGGGGGATTACCAGGACACACGAAGGGACACCAGGAGGTTACTGGGCCATACTGGGGGTTACTGGGTGCTCACTGGACGATCATTGGGCCATACTGAGAGCCACTGGGAGGTCACTGGGCTATACTGGGGGCACTGGGATGTGGTTCATCTCTCTGCAAAGATTTTGGGTGGCACTGCCAGGACCCCTCCCCTGAGGGCTAGGGGACCCCCTGAATCCCTCTGATGGGCTTTGGGGACCCCCGGGATCTCCCCCCGTGGGGTTTCTGTGTTCTGAGTTTTGGGGGTCTCTGGGGTTCGGGGGGTCATTAAGATCCCCCTTTCCCTGGGGTGGGTCCGCCCGGCCGGCAGGGGGCGCTGTGGCACTTTGACCCCTCCCCTTGACCCTCCCCCGCCAAATTCCCAGCCCCTCCCCCCAATTCCCGGCCCCTCCCCCTCTTTGTCCCTGTTCCCCCTTGACACCTCCCTCGCCCCTCCCCCTCAAAATTCTCAGTCCCTCCTCCCTCCCTTTTGGGCCCTCCCTTTCTTAAAAAGCCCCTTCCCTCACCCTTTCTGGTCCCTCCCCCCAATTTTTTCAGCCCCTCCCCCCCATTTCTGGCCCCTGCCCCCACTTCCTCCTCCTCCGTCAATTAAAATCGGCCCCTTTGTTTGAGGTTAAAAAAAACAAAAGAAAATAAATCTCAATTTTACTCTTTTTTTTTTTGGTTTTTTTTTGGTTTTTTGTTGTTGTTGTTGTTGTTGGATTTTTTGTTTCTTTGTTTTGGTTTTTTTAATTCATTTCCCATTGATGTCAATTTCCCATTTTTTATTCATTTCCCAATGACGTCACCTGAGGCCCTCCAGTGACATCACCGGTTCCCCTTCGATGACGTCACCACCGTCTGCTGTGACGTCACCACACGTCGATGACGTCACTCCTGACCCCAGTGATGTCACCTTTCCCCCTCGAGGACATCTCTGCTGACCCCAGTTACGTCACAGACCCACGGAGACATCACCGCTGTCCCAGATGACGTCACAGACCCACAACGACATCACCAGTTCCTCCGATGATGTCACCGGGCCACAATGACATCACCATTTTCCCTCAATGACATCACCGCTGACCCCAGTGATGTCACAGACCACGGTGACATCACCGCTCTCCCCGATGATGTCACTGGTGTGTGTGTCCCCAGTGACCACCAGTTCCCCATAATGACATCACCGGTCCACAATGACATCATCACTCCCTCCTGAATGATGTCACTGGGTGCCCGATGACATCACTGAGTCCTTGATGCCGTCACTGAGTCCTTGATGCCATCACTGAGTCCCTGATGACATCATGGGGACAAACTGGGCCAAACTGGAACCAACTGGGGGCGTGTCCCCAAGGAGGGCAGAGCCGACAGCCTGGAGGTGGGACAGCAGCGAGGCCACGCCCACTGCGGGGACATTTGGGGACATTTTGGGGACAGTTTGGGGACATTGGGGGACATTGAGGGGACATTGGGGACATTTGGGGACACACCCACCTCTGCCAGGGGGTGGTATCTTCGTGTCCCCTCCTGGGGTGGCCTCGGGTGGGGGTTGGGGACAACCCTGGAGGTGACAAAGAGGGGACACCGACCTGGGGGGGGACACCAGTTTGGACCAGTCACCTCCCAGTTCCATCCCAGTTTGTCCCAGTCCCTCCCAGTTTGTCCCAATCCCCTCCCAGTTGTTCCCAGTCCCTCCCAGTTCTCTCCCAGTCACTCCCAGTTCCCTCCCAGTGCCTCCCAGTGTCGTGGTTTTGCTCTGGCTCAATTTACTTTTACACCCCCCATACAATTACTATCAGTTGAGAGAAGGTTTATGCAGACAAAAAGAGACTGAATTAAAAAAAAGGTATGAGTATTTATTATTAACAAACTAAAACTAAAGAATTATATTTACAACAATTCTACTTAAGTAAAAGGTATTATGTATTTACAGAAGATACTTCTCCCCCCACCTCCCTTTATATCAGTCCAAGGAGGAGAAGCAGTCCTTTTCTGTTCTCAGAATTCCAGCTCTCTCTCTCTCCAGTAACTCTGCAGCACTTTCGTCGCAGTTGGAACCTTTTTATCTCTCTCTTATTCTGTGTTGGTTTCCAGGGCTGGGCCTACCCCCCTCCTGGGTTAAAACCAAAGGCTGAGGGTTACCCAGGTCCTGAAGGGTCTCCTTCCATAGACTTGCAAGGGGACACTTGCTTACTATGGATCTTCTTCCACAGGGTTACAGGGGATAATGGTTTAAGAGTTCACCCCTGTTTCCCTATGGAGGTCCCTCCCCATGGGAGAACAGTCCTTGATTGACTTCTCGACATGGGTCTAGTCTGGATCCCTTACTCGGATCCCAATATCCCACCTGAGCCATTTTCTGCTCCAGCGTAGGTTCTCTCTAGCACCAGCAGCACGGATCCCACACATGGATCCCAACATCCCTACCTGAACCGTTTTGTGTTCCAGCGTAGGTTCTAATACCTGTCAGGGTCATAAATCTTCAACAGCAGCAGCATGGATCTCTCACTGAGATCCCAAGCTTATCTGAGCCGTCTCGCTCCAGCATAAGCATCGATCCCTTCGAGGGTCACAAAGTCTTTAACAGGACTCTGCCTCATCTGAGCCGCTTTTACTCCAGCATAAGGCTTTCTCTCTGTTAAAGTCACAAATCTCTGGTGCATCCACAAGCTCCTCTGTGAGCCGCACGGGGGTCTCTTCACCTCAACAAACTCCTACAGGTGGCAGGGTTTTATTTTTCAGTCTTTACCCTGCTTAAGGGAGGGAGAGTGAAAAGGAGAAAAACAGCAGCTCTCCCCCCTTCGAACTTTTCTTCTCTTTCCTGTGCTGCCAGCTTCGACCTTGAAAATCCTGTTATCTCATGGCTGGAATTCTTCGGTAGCGGTTTCTCATCTAAGCAGTTCGTCTTTTAAACCCTTTTTTTTCTTTACTCTCTCACAAGAGAGAAGGGAGGTTTCAGTACTACACCTGCCCCCCCCGGCCCAAGCTGGGGAGGAGGGGGCTTTGGCCCTCCTCGGGCCCACTACCCTTCTACATGGCTGCTGTTGCTAATTTCAACTGCGCCACAACCTTCTCTTCCGTTTTCTTAAAGATGTAATTAGCAAAGGCGTCACTGAACTTTTTGATTGGTTTTTTGTCCGGAAATTACTTGGACAAAACCATCCTCAGCCCCAGGGATGGGCTGGTGGGCAAAACCACGACACCCAGTTTGTCCCAGTGCCCCCCAATCCCCTCCAGTCCCTCCCAGTTTGTCCCAGCGTCCACTCCCAGTCCCTCCCAGTGCCACCCAATCCCCTCCCAGTCCCTCCCAGTTTGTCCCAGCGTCCACTCCCAGTCCCTCCCAGTGCCACCCAATCCCCTCCCAGTCCCTCCCAGTTTGTCCCAGTGTCCCCTCCCAGTCCTTCCCAGTACCTGCCCAGTGCCAGTCCCAGTTCCCCCAGTGCCGCCTCAGCCACCTCGACCCGGAGACGCTGCCGGGTCACCTCCTGTCTCCAAATGTCCCAAATGTCACCAAAATGGTCCCAAATGGCACCAAAATGTCACCAAAATGGTCCCAAAATGTCCCCAAATGTCCCCAAATGGCCCCAAATGGCCCCAAAATGGCCCCAAATGGCCCCAAATGTCACTGAACTGCCCATAAAGTGACACCAAATGTCCCCAAAGTGACACCAAATGTCACCTCCTGCGTGACCTGCCACCAGTGTCCCCAAATGTCCCCAAACGGCTCCCAACTGGTCCTAAATGGCCCCAAAATTGCCCCCAAATGTCCCCAATGTCCCCAATGTCCCCTCCCCTGTCCCCAGTGTCCCCAGTGATGTCCCCAGGTGTCCCCAATGTCCCCAGGTGAGTCCCAGGTGTGTCTCCAGTGTCCCCTCACCTGTCCCAGGTGTCCCCAAATGTCCCCAGGTGTGTCCCCAGATGTGTCCCCAATGTCCCCTCACCTGTCCCAGGTGTCTCCAAATGTCCTCAGTGTCCCCAGGTGTGTTTCCAGGTGTGTCCCCTCACCTGTCCCAGGTGTGTCCCAGGTGTTCCCAATGCCCCCCCAATGTCCCAGGTATGTCCCAGGTGTCCCCAATGTCCCCTCACCTGTCCCAGTGTCCCCAAATGTCCCCAGGTGG